TCTGGCATTTGAAACACACAAATCTTAAAGCTGTCAAGTTACAAGACCCTTTCACCCCTAACCCTTTAGAAAAAAACCCCAGGGGTGTTCAAACTTGACAGCTTTAAGACTTGTGGACTTCAACTCCCAGAATTCCTCCTCTCGCTCTTCATCTTGATTATGTGCGGATGGGCAGGGGGAGAGAGCTGGAAGCGGTTCTAAACGGCATTGTAGATTTGTGGAACCTCTTCTATAGAAGAGGTTAGAATTGGCAGGAACCCACCCCTGGAATATTGGCTCTAAGGAAGTGATGCCCATAGTCACTTCATTCTGCCTCAAGATCGCCAATTTATTTATTTATTTTATTAAATTTATGATGGTCGGCCACTCCAATAGATTCCCATATTTATCTTCATATTATTGCTATAGTGCTGGGGTGTCAAACTCGATTTCATTGAGGGCCACATCAGGGTTGACTTTGGGGAGCCATGTGGGCATGGCCAAATTCACATCACTCATGTTGGCGGTGCCTGTGGTGGCCCAGGCAGGGCTGGGGGGATCCATTGTCTCCAGCGGAGGAAGGCGAGACCAGGGAGAGCACCAAACTCTTGTCCTCCAGAGGAGCCTCGCCATCCCTCTTAGGCCACACGGTGACCCCTGGATGGCAGTGCAGGCACTCCACTGCCCTAGAAAGTAGAGGGCAAGCAAGTTTGTTTTGCTAGTACTCTGCCAGCAAAAATGGAGCTTGGGAGGAAATTGGAAATTGCCCCTCATGAGTTCTGTTTTCGGTTTCGATGGCCTCCTGCTGCACTCTTTCAACGAAAACAGCTGCCACTTGGTTGTAACCCAAGCACTTGGTCAGCATGGGCTGGGCTGAGATACCGCAGGTCAGTCCTTTGCTGTTTACAGAATGGCCCTGCAGGCCAGATTTAAGCACCGGATTCGCCCCCCCCCTTTACATTTGGTACCCCTGCTATAGTGCTTGAATAAAAACTTAAGTCATCCTAAATGCTGGAAAAAAATGCAGTGCTACATAAGACACACTACTGTAGCAGCTACTGCATATGAACTTTAAAGAAAATGGAATGGAGACCATCCTTCCAGGCCTGTTGAACTGCAACTCCCACAATTCCTGTGAACCAAATCTCAATGGCTGAATGTGATGGAGGCTGTAGTCCAGTGACCCTGGACTGCAGAAAGGGAAAAGCTATCTTCACATTGTTCCTACAAAGCAAAGCTAGAAGTCGGCTACATAAAGATGCAATGGGGAAAGTTTCATCTAAATGATTTCAACCTAGTAAACCTGCACAACTTTGCATAAACATCTTGCTCATTTTATGTCTGCAACAGCTTCTGATCACAGGAACTGCTGGACAGAAACTGGCCACCCCATTCTTGTTTTATTGAGATGCCAATTACATGGGAGTTAAAAATATTCAGACATGCTTTTCTATGGAAAAACACCATACACCAATAATAATCAGTGGCATAAAGTCCATGTTTAATCTAGGACAATCAATCTTGAAATGGATACATCGATTGCAATCTTTTATGTAGAGTTAATGTTATGTTATTTCCCACAAAGATTGTGAACATGACTAAGACAGAGATAAAGCCAAGGAAAAGTCTTTGACTTTGTGATTTTCCAGCCCTTCTTATCACTATGCACTGCAATTAATCAGTGGTGAAATACTGCAGGTTGAGAAATTTCCTTTAGCGTTTCTGCCTCAAAACTGTTGGTTAAGTGAGAGGGAGCCTGATCTTGTCAACCTAATAGAATAAATCAATGTTAAATCAACTTTAAGATGTGTAGACTTCAACTCCCAGAATTCCCCAGCATACTGGCTAGGGAATTCTGAGAGTTGAAGTCTACACATCATAAAGTTGCTAAAGCTGAGAAAAACTAGAATAGATGACAAGTAGATTCCTTTTCCTAGGCCTGGATATATTGTAACTATTAGACTAATGGAAATTTTAGCTCAGAACATAAATGTCTTGCCTCTGGTCACATAGAAAAGAGTTTGAGACCTAGTGTCTGTTCATTAAATATGTAAAGTCTTATTTGCTAAAGTAGGAGGACTATTGTTTCATTCTCAAGAAGGCAGTTTGGTGGAGTGATTAAACTATTAGCCTAAGACCAAAGTGATGCAGATTCAGGTTGACCCCCACTCATGGAAACTCACTGGCTGGCTGAGTTGAGTAAGAATTGGCCCAACCTACCTTAATCAGGTTTCTTTTGTGCAGAAAAAATAGGAATACATCAGACATTGACATCCCTACAGGAAAGACAGCATCTAAATCTAGACAGAAATTTAAATCTAAGTGATGTGAGAGAAAGGGAAATAATTAGAGTACTGGTAATTGGAGATGCTAATGAATGCTTTTCTACAGCTGACATTCCTTCTGTTGTACTGGATTATGACTTCTATCATCTCACTATATTTGAAAGCATCAATGCTATTTTTGTAAAGTATCCAGTATTATGAATGCTTTGGCTATGTTCCTACTAGGCAGTAAGCTATGTTTTTTGTTTAAACATGTTTAATGTTTATTAGGCAAAGCATTGTTTATTTATAGGAACGCGGTGGCTCAGTGACTAAGATGCTGAACTTGTCAATCAGAAAGATGGGCAGTTCGGCGGTTCGAAACCCTAGTGCTGCGTAACGGATGGAGCTCCCGTTACTTGTCCCAGTGTCTGTCAACCTAGCAGTTCGAAAGCACATAAAGAATGCAAGTAGAAAAATAGGAACCACCTTTGGTGGGAAGATAACAGCGTTCCGTGGACCTTCGGCATTTAGTCATGCCGGCCACATGACCACGGAGACGTCTTTGGACATCGGTGGCTCTTTGGCTTTGAAACAGAGATGAGCACTGCCCCCTAGAGTCGGGAACAACTAGCACATATGTGCAAGGGAAACCTTTACCGTTTATCTTTACCTAGTTTATTTATTAGATTTTTATCCCACCTTTATTGCTTCATAAGTAACTCAAGGTGGCAAACATATATAATATTCCTTCCCCCTATGCAACATGCTAACCACTGAATAATGCTTTGCACATCACAGGGACTCAGATCATTCAGTACTAAGCCATAAATAAGCAAATGACACTTCGGACTAAGGCAAAGGTGCAACCCAGCCCTTCAGTACTGCTGTATTGGTCAGGATTATGAAAAGCAGAGGCAGCCGTATTATTTATGATGCAACTGAGGGAAAGGATCCTGCTGGTACTCCACCCTTGTAAGAGGTAAGAGTTAATATTAACGTCTAGTGACTACATGGGCAGATCCATGCAGTTTTCTTGGCAAGATTTTCAGGAAGGATTTGCCATGCGAAAGTCCCGATATTTCTTAATTTCCCAGTCTAGGGCTCAGAGCAAGTAACCAGCCCAAAATCACTCAGCTGGCTTCTCAGAAGATGAGAACTCTAGCTTGTCTGCCAGCTCTTAATCCACCACCTTTGACTATCGTTTATGAAGCAATTGGGCGAAAGCATTCTGCTGGCATGGCCCCACCTCTTTCAGCTTTGAAAAAGACTACAAAAAAAGTTAACATCTAGATTGAAAGGAATACTTTTTCTTTTAAGTCAGGTGATTTCGCTGGCAGGAAGCTGGGTGCACCAGCCTCCAACAAGCCTTTGTCTACCCCAAACTTTGATTCTCACTTCTCTCACATCCATTATGTCCCATAGACAAAGTGTAGGCATTAGCTAGCTGCCTTGCAAGTAAAGTTGTTAAACTTCTTAGCACTCTGTATACCTTAAATGTAAGCAGGGCTCCAGAAACTGTGATCATTGATTTGAACCCCACTGTAACCACCAGCTCATCCTGAGTATCTGCAATAACTGGCCTACCCCACAGGACTGTTGTGAAGATTCCCTATTTCACTGCCTTATAAAACCACGGATCGCGTCCCACCTGTAATGGTCTCCTGATAGCCTTTGGTGAAGTACTGCATGGCCGTGGCCGCCCTCCAGGGCGTCTTGAGCAGCCCCTGGCGCTGCGGGTCCTCGCCCAAGGCCCGCAGGATGGTGGTGTAAGCGGCGGCCAAGCCGGGCAAGTTCATTTCGTTGTCCTCTTCGCTGCGGGTCCGCTCTTCCTTCCAGCTCTCTAAGGGATGCCCGCCAGCCGCGCTCTTCCAGCTACGGGACGGCGCTTCTCCCGAGCGACTCCGCTGAAGGGCCGGCTGCTTCTCGGCCAGCGCGTACCCATTGCAGCTGGCGGTTCGCAGGGGCTGATCCAGCGCGGCCGGCGGCTTCCTTTTCTCCATCTGGTCAAGGCGTGCGCCCAGCCCTGGAGAGCCGGTGCTGCTCGAGAGATTCCCGGGCTAAGCTGGAAAGGGAGCAGAGGCCAGATGCGGACAGGAGTTGAAAGGGGGGGGTCGGTCACTCACTCCCAAGAAACTATTCGAGCAATAGGGAGGCGTGAGAGAGGTTGGTGTGGGAAGGGGCGTTTCCTGGCAGCACGTGCGCCCAGCCTGGAGCCAAAGGAAACGTCTGGCGGCCTCACTCGCGCGGGTCCCTGGCCGAAGTGGGAACCGATAAGACAAGTTTTTTTTTAGAAAAAACACGTGTCTAAATGCACCGACCTCCGTGTCTGCCGCGCTGTCCGCGGCCAAAAGGCTTCCTGCCACCTCTGACAAGCAGGGAAATGGGGAGGAAAAGGCCGCCGGCGCCGCACCGAGACCCTCGCGATGCGCTCTTCTTTGCAGGCGGCGCGCCTCACTTTATACATCGCCTGGTTTCGGTCCCGGGCACGGCGCGCCTCTTCCATTGGGCACCTCTGTCCGTGCGTCACCCCGCCCGGCAGCCTCTCAGAGGCTCGTGCGCCGGAAGCCGCAGGCGGCGGAAAGCTGGACGAGGAGCGCTTCTCTCTGTGGCGAGAACTCGCCGGTGGCCGGGAGAAGGAGACGCCCAGTTCTCACAGCCGCCGCTGCCGCCGGCCGAAGAGGGGGGGGGGGGCTGTGGCAGACGGTTGTCAGAGCTGCTTTAAATTGGCCGGGTTATAGGAAAGCGTGACCGTCGAGCACTTTCCCTTCTGGGAAAGTACTTAAATGATTACTCAACCCTTGGGACCGTGTTGTGATGTGACAACACTGGCCCCGACCATTTTGTGAAGAGAAAAGCAAGGGGAGACATGGTAGCAGTGTTTCAATAGTTGAGGGGCTGCCACAGAGAC